GAACCCCCTGCTTCCCCCCGCACCCTGGTGTGTCCCCAGGTCCCCCGTCCCCTCCTCCCAGTCAGGGACCCCAGCACAAGGAGCGGGGAATGCTGGCAGAGGGAGCTCTGAAGCCGCACGGGAGGCAACGTCAGCACCTGCATCCCTTCCCGGGACATGAGGAGCCAGGGCGACATGGTCCCCACCGTGCAAGGGTGACCTCTCTGCTGAGCGGGAGGTGACCCCTGGTGATGGCCCCGAAGTCCCCTGAGGAAGCGCCCCTTCCCCCTGCTCACCTTCGTGGGGGACGCAGTACACCGGCCCCTCATCCATGGTGTCGAAGGAGGAGAAGGAGCCACGGGATGACCAGGATGGGGAAGGCTGTTCCACCACGGAGGGCGGCTCGATGAAGCTGCAGTTCAGGGTGTTCTCCAGGTCGTGGTGGGCCACTGTGAGGGCAAGGAACTGCTGTCAGTGCCCGTCCCGCTGGACCCCGCCAGCCAGGAGGGTGGGTGCTGCAGTGCTCCCCCCCACCCAACATGCCAGGGGTTGTGGGGACAGGGCCAGCGCCCCAGGCAGGGACGTCCCTGCCAGGTCCCCAGCCACGTGCCCACACGCAGAGGCCGTCCAGCAGCAACGGTGGCGACCAGCCCCCCCCACGCCTGGGGACAAGCGGCTGTGGACAGCAGAGCTGGCGCAAGCCTTCCACCTCCCATCCGTCCCCTCCTTCCACGGCAGCCGCCAGCCACCCGCATCAAGGACACACGTGGCAGAGGGCTGAGCCATCCAAACCCCTGGGTCCCACGAGGACCCAGCAAGCATTCCAGTGGTCACCCATGAGCCGGGGTGTGACCCGGCATGGCCACCCCACAAAGAAAGTCCTGGTGCTGCGACTGTCCCCTTCCTGGGGTAAGAAACGAGCTGCTGGCTTTAACTGCACCCATTTCCACTCCAGCATCACCAGCTGCATTTTCCTTTTCCTTCTGCTTCTGCAACAGGAGGCAGAAGGGTGGCAGAAGGATGCCCGCTGCAGGGGGATGCGTAGCAACCTTTTTTCCAAGTTCTTCCACTTTTCAAACATTTTCCCAGCTTCTCCCACCCTGAGGCAGAGGAGGAGCAGGCCCCCTTGCCCCCGCGCTGCCTCCTCCGCCACGGGGCCGCCCACAGCGAAGCCGAGCGGAAGAGAAAAACCCCCAGGGAGGAAAAACTTGGTGTTAAAAATATTTTCAGTTTCAATGGCAAAAAAAAGCTGAGCAGGGACAGTTGCCTGGGCCGGGGGGGACTGGGGCTTCTCTTTGATCATTTTTAAGGCTTTTTGCTGGGTAAGTTCATGTCCCAGCCCACCCCGCGCTCCTTGCCTGGGCGCCTGCAGCATCGTCCTTGGGGATCGACCCTCCCGGAGAGCCGGGCAGCATCAGATGCTCCTGTCCCCATCCCTGCCTGCCGGCTCCTGTCCCCCGGGGTGGTGGCAAGGGCTGCAGCCCAGGCAGAGCCCGGCTTTGCAGCACAGGCTGCGCAAACCCAGCACAGCAGCTGTACATCGACATCTCCAGGCATTCTGTAAGCCCTGCCTGCACATCCCAACCATCTAAGCCGTGCTGCCATTTCCCACTCGGACCGATTCTCACCCCACATCCCTGTTTTACAATAAAATAACTCTAAGTGGTATTGGGATGCCCACCGGAATATTTATTCTTTCTTAGGGAATCTGGCTCCAGAGATGCAGGGTCATTAAAATGACGGCAGCGATGCACGATCGCCCCTGCATAGTTTGGCATCTTGGAGAAAGGAAAAAAAAAAAAAAAAGCAGCGATATTTAAAGAGCAAACGGCCTGGAGAGGGGGAAGCAGCAGCTCCAACATGGCTTTCCTTGTAATAAAAACCAAAAAGGGAAAATTAAAAGCAGCCGGCTGGAAGCGGATGAAGGGAGATGCTTCCTGAGAGGGGGTGTGACGAGTGGCTGGGACTCAAGGCCACGAGACGTCTCTGGGACTGGGATGAGACCCAGGATATGGCCTAAGGATACAAAGAGGATGCACAGGGCACCCAGGGCTGGGCTCAGGGGCTCCTGCGTGGTCCCCTGGGATTTATTCCCGGGCTGATGGGGCTGAGAGAAATGTGCCCGTGTCCCTCAGGTCCCCTCCTGCTGCTTCTCCCTGAACCCTCCCAGGGGCACCACATCAGGTGCCGGCCCCAGCCCCACTCGCATGGAAGCTGATGGGTCTCCACATGGGGACGAAGCGGCAAGGAGCAACAGAGGGGCGGTGGGGGGTGGCCCCAGCGCCCCCCAGGCTGCCCCCTCCCGCTCATCCCCAGCTCCCCATGGGTGGCGTCACCCCATGGGCTGGCCGAGCTTTGCTGCTCGGAGATGCAGCAGTGGGGTGCAGGAGCAGGCACCCCATGGCGCAGAGCTCAGGCTAACCCCCGCATCCATGGGGTGACACAACCCACGCTGGTACCACCAATGTCCCAGGCAAGCAAACCTCATGACACCCCGCACACAGGGGGATGCCCAAACCCCAGCACTGTGACCATTGGTGTCAGCCCAGGATGCGGCCGTGCGGGCTCCAGCTCATGTGCAACCCCCAACGAGACACTGCGGATTTGGAACCGGTGCTGAGGCAGGGAGCAGCTTTCGAGGGGGGCACTTGGGGCTCCATGCACCCGATGAGCTTTGGTGGGGCTTCAGAACCTGCTGCCCCACCTGGGGGGGTTCTACCATGCGTGGGTTTCTGTTTGCTGGGGGTGACCATGGTCACATTCGAGCCCAGAGGGGAAAACCTGCCCGGGGGTGACAAACGCACGGCTGCGGCAGTGACTGTGCAAGGGTATGAGCAGACTTGGAGCCACCATCTACCAGGCGTCCTCAGCTTCGGCCAGCACTGGTTTCGCTCTGACATCCCCACAGGGTCCTGAGCACCTCCAGCACTGAGGTGGCACGGGATGGGGTATTTCAGCATCCCCCAGATCCTCCTGCCAGGGCAGGACCATCGTGGGGAACAGGTGGCCCTGCCACGGCATGCTGGCCACCACAGCTTCCAGGCAGAGCCACATGCTGCGGTGGCACCGCGGCCACCAGGCATGGCAAGGCCGCTGCTGCTGCGGGCACCCGGCCAGGCTCCCTTGCCCGGGGCATCTCCGGGGGCTGGAGGCATCACCGGACCATGCACCAGAGGGACTGGGGGAGGCCAAAGACCCCACGGGCTCTGCCATGCCATGCGGGATAAGATGATGAACACAAGACAACCCCTGGCCAAAGCCCCAACCCAGGCTCCAGGAGCAGCCCCAGGCCGGCTGGGACCCGGGGCCATCCCAAGCATCCCTCCGGCACCGGCGCCGCATCCCCAGCCCTGCCCAGCGCC